CAGATGACATGGTTCCATAAATCGTAACCAACTGTAGAAACTTGAAGCTCGAACTCAAGCAACTTTGATGCCGTTTTACTCAACTTGGCCTGCAAACTCTGGGATCTTGATTTCATAATGAAATTCAGATTTTACTTCATTTGAAGAGTCCTTTTTGTCCTTGCCCCAAAGTGAAATGATTCTCATGCCATCTCTGGTTTAAGAGTGGCTCCCTCTCACCACCTTGGTTTATTAATGCTGTGTTAAACAACCAGCGGTGATTGTGAACGCAACACAATCCTAATCAGCTGATCTTTCACCCTAGCTGGAAAACTTAAGTTAACCACAGCTGTTAGAGCAAGATTTATTATCGCCGCCAGACAGTGTTAGAGAACACAGTCAGAAATTGTGTTTGGATTTAGAAGAGATTCACTCGTTGAATTACTGAATACAAAACAATTGACTTTTTTTGGTATTTATTTAGATGCACAAAACATTAGAGCGAGGCCACAGTTATACAGAATGCAAAATTCTCCTAACATCAAAACAGATAAAAAAAAAAAAAAAAAGGATGTTTTCATTCAATGAGAGCCTAGATTAGCATAAAAAAAAATCTCCCCCTTTTTTTTTTAAAGTCTCAATTGATCCCTGGAGCTCCTGTTACATTAACTTGTCAACATCACAGTGACAGGCCCAGTTGGACCTGCTGGCAGCAGCATCCGAGGGGAGGGGATCAAAGAGAGGTCAGCGGAGACGCCACAGAGTAGGACAAGCGGATTGGTCTTAAAGGTTCTTATACATCAAACAGGAACAAGAGGAAACAACAAGCTGTCCTGTTAGGTCTCTGCAAATAAGCCACGTTGGCCAGAGAAAACAGCAGTTGATCCCACCGCAGAGACCATGTCTAACGCAATTAGGAGTTCTTCAGCTTCTGGCTGGGAAGTATTCCTTGTTTGATGGCAAACAAGAAGAAATCAGTGTGACACGTAGTTTTAGTATTTGTGTTCTTCTGCTGCCGTCACCTCATGGCTCACACACTAATCGGCAACACTTAAAAGCCAATAGGAAAGACTCCATTTGAGCAACAACCAAGAGCCGCAAAAATGAGTGAGACGGGCATTCTCAACATTCACCAGACTTTTTTTGTTAACAGTAAGCTTGGTTTATAATGCTTCCAACAGAATATTTCTTCATTCCCATTTGGCACCTAATAATAAACAAAATGTTGAAGTGACTGATGAAGAAAATGAAAACCGTACCTTAATGAAGTTGTTCAGGTGGCCAAGCTTTCGCATGTTACTGACTCCATGCGATTTGGCCACATTTTGGAGGATTTCACGGAAGTTTTCAGATGGTTCTGCATGGGAATGAAAAATTAAATCCAGTGTAAGTAACAGAAAAAAACTAAACAAACTGGACTATATTGTCATAATAACAGCTGATGGACAGCAATTGCTTTGTTATAGGAAGAATGTGGGCTCAACTGGCTGGACTAATTGAGTGTAAAGACTGAGAAATTCAAGTAAAGTAAAGAGCTTTACTTAACAGCTGTGTTAAGTAAAGCTTAACTGCTGAGTAAGTTACTTAACTGCTGTGTTAAGTAAAGCTTAACACAGCTGTTAAGTAAAAGGCTTTACTTAACAGTAAAGCTTTCACTTTACTGCTAAAGTAAAAGCTTTACTTACATTCAAATAAAAAGCTTTACTTGAATGTTGCCAGTTCCTTCCACGATTGTTGAGCTGGCTGCTTTTATGAATCGTTCTTCTCTATTGGTACAAAGGATTAATGGGCAGCCATTGTGTTTAATAATAAAATCACTCAAGACAAAAACACTAAGACCATACCTCCACAAAGATGTATTAGTGTTTTTTGTTTTTTTTGTAAAAATTTTTATTTTTAGTTTACAAACAAAATCTAATCATGTTGAACTAAATAATATTATGAGCAATGAATTAAAATGTTTCATTGGAGGAACTCAAACGTTTCTGTTTCGATTTTGGCCAGCATACCTTATGAGACGCAGATACTAACATTGTTATTACTAAACACTTTTCCTATAGAATAAAAACTTCTTTGAAAACACTGTATTTTCTCTTTCCTAATTACCTTAGCAAGCAGACATTTTCAAGCCGATATCTCCATTGTTTTTAGATAGAATTTGTAAATTCTCATTTTGACTGATTTTGGGTTTTTTTCTAAAGACAAAAACACATAAAAAAAAAAGAATGTAGCTGGTTCTTTAATAAATGTGTACTTTTAAATCCAGGAAGCTATTTTTGATATCCACTTATCATTACAGGATCATAGAGAGCTGGTGCCTATGTACTGCAGTTATTATTGGGTGAGTGGCAGCGTGCACCCTGGACAGGACACCAGTTCATCACAGGGCAAACAACCATGCAAACACACACACACACACACACACCCTAAAGCAATTTGGAGTATTCAATTAACTCAGCAGTCATGTTTTACATTGTGGGAAGAAGCCGACACACCCGGAGAGAACCAGAATTCGAACCCAGGACCTTCTTGCTACGAGGCAAAAATGCAACCAACTGCTCTTATTTTGCACAAATAAGAAATAACAACGATGATAGTATTCAGCGGTAATAATACTTTTTAATCTAAGTGAAAATTAAACAAATATTATACTCATCTATGTATTTCTCTCTAACCATAGCTGGATCACTATTAAACCAAACAAAAGTTTAACAGTAAGCTGTGAGTTGGTGTTTTTATCGATTAAAAATGGTAGTGGTTCTTATGTTTGATGCATTTCATAAATAAGGAGGAATTATATCATTTTGACATCTGGCCTGCAGATGAAGACCATCAGAGCTGATGGTCGGTTTTCGATCTCAGGTAATGACTGGAGGGTCTCCAGCACAAAATGTTAATAAGTAATCAGTAAAGAAAGATAGGCGTTCTTATTATTATTATGATCAAACACAACATAAGAGGGTTGGACTAATTTTATCCATGAGTTTTATTACGAAAACTCAAATATGTTTATCCACAGTTCTAGGGATGTGTCAACTTACTACAGCCAAACAAGAACAAATGTTCATTTAGAAATTCGCCATCAATGAGCAGCTCATTGACTACAGCGCCTCAATTCCCGAACGACGCGACTGCAATCTCAAAATCTCCAGGAATGTGGGCGTCCAGAGCAGCTGCTCTGTGTAAACAAACAGGTATGTGGTTGTCGTCGCTGCAGACGTGAATCTGACCTGGCTCAGCAGCCATCAGAAGGACCTTCCCATGCGCCAGTATTCAGCGAGGAGCCGGGAAGCCGCCCGACTTTCAACGCAGACAGTCACGACTAATGCACGAAGACAACAACTGCGGCTGTCCGGCCAAATAACAGGCTGCGGTGCCTAGTCACACTGAACAAAACAACAGCGCGGCGTCATGGCTGGTTAGCTGTAGCGGCTAGCTGAAGCTAACTCAAGCTCGTTTTAGTTAGCTCGCGGTTGCCGCTTGTTATTATTATTCGTTAGCAACGGGTTTATGCGAAACGGAAAGAAAATGAGTGGCGCGACCAAAAACACAATTGCACGTACAATACCGAGCTTAGCGTTAGCGGGACTGTGTTTGCAGAAAGTGCCCTCATCCATTTTGAACAATAATCGCTTTCATGGTGATGCGATGAAGCCTTTGCTTACCTCTGCTCAGATCCAGCGGGACGTTCTCCTCCCCGCTGTCATTCCGACCTGACAAAAACACACACAGCGCACACAGTAAGACGCTCCTCCGGGGCCTGTACCTGCACGGGGACTTGTCTTTACAACAATATGTCGCTGTTACAGCTTTCAATGAATCGAGTTTATCACGCTCACCCCGCATCCGAAGACTCCGGATAGGACGGCCGCGGAAGCTGGCCGCCATGTTTCCAGGAACATACACAACACCGGAAACTTCGCGTCTTGTCGCGAGAATACGAGACAGCGAAAGTCAAGACGCCGCAAATCTCCTCCGCAGACCTGAGATCAGAATAATCTCCCGCCCCCTTTTTTTCCTGCACTCTAAAATAAACATGGACAAAAATACCAATCTGAATGCCTTATTTTGAGAATTTCTGGTTCATATCATATTCTTTGCGTAAACAAAAACATATCTAAATAACCACATTTAATATACAATATTATAAATGTAGTACCTAACTATAAGTCCACAACTATAAAAGAATACGCACATATTTCTCAGACATATGGACTAGTTACAACTGCCCAAACTACATACAAGCAAGACTCTGCATTGAGTCTTGTGTAGTGAAAATAGTTGAATGGATACAATTTAAATAAATGACTAACTGAATTAAGTTTATCCAATTTGATTGAAGTTTGTTTAACCTGTTGAGTTAAACATCATAAATGAACTTAGATGAATGTAATTCAATTGTTACCAACTAAAGCAATTATTTTAAAGTTGCAGCATCTTTTTTTCCCTCTTTTTATTTTTTGGTATGTAGGTTTATACCAAGTTTTATTTTGTGGACCGTACCTTTTGCAAAAGTGTACAGCTGCATATACCGCCATGCAAGCTTTTGACTGCAATTACTACACACTATGCTTTTTTTCTATTTTTTTTTAAATATATATATAAAATTCTCCCACTCCATAGTGATGCATTATGGCCTGCATTCCATAACATAACCTCCTGCTTGTCGTTTTAATGTGGAAAAAATGCACATGGCATTAAAACTTTCTCAAGACTCAAACCTGGATAAACCTGTGGTCCACAATAATGATGGGAAAAGCAACAGTTCAATGGTACATTTAAATAAAAAGGAATCCAAAATCATTTTTATCTGCGTTATTAACGAATATCAAAAGGTCAAAACCAACTGCAATACTTATATTGCCCACTCAGCGTCACACAAACACAAAAAATAAGAATCCTGGAAGGAACGTTGTTTGACTCCAGTTTTAGGGGCCTATTAAGATGATGATATTTCTCCACCGTATGTTTATTTTGACAATTAAACACCACATAAATTTAAATAGAAAAATCACTTTATTTCAGATTCTCGCCATGCATAAATTCCCGTATATACACGTCACAGAAAAGGTGAAAATAATAAAAAGTCCTCAGTTCAGCGTGGCGGCTGAGATGAGAGCATCAATTTCCTTAATAGCTTCAGAGGTTCTCTGAAGCGCTTCAGCAATGTAGTCCTCATTCACCACCTCATCCTCCTGTGTGATCTTTGAACTTGCTCCTTCTGAGTTTCGTTGCTTACTTTCACTTCTCAGCAGGTGGTTGTTCTCCAGCAGGACTGCGCACAGAATGCTAAAGGCTAAACCTCACTGCATTGTATTTTCACAAACATTGCATATTATGCTCTTGGATAGAAGGATACAGTTGAAACGCTTTATCTTCTCCAGTTCTGCAGCAACAACATCCGAACTGAAGTTGAAGTGTGAAAACAAGCTGTTAAAAAAGGGAGCCGTTCCCTCTCCCCCTAAAATTAAGTGATCGGAAAGACACAACTTACAGACTCCCAGCTGTCTGTGGCGTCTCCACTGCACTGGAAGGATTTTGCTCAAGTTGGATTGTTTTAGAAATATATTTGTCCTGCAAACACAATTTTATTACAATAAACAAATTAGGCATTTTAACAAGTTCTAGAACTGGAGATGTAAACAGATGTAGAACAACCTGTTGCAGGCAGGTGTGTATGACAGGAAACTTTAGTAAATGCTTGGCCTGGTTATAACTAACAAGAATCCTGTGAGAAACATAGGCAATGGTTAAAATCCTGAAAAACATGGAAGTTTTACAAGCCACAAACTGCAGTGAAGTGGTATCTTACCTGCTGGCACGGCTCACAATGGAGCCCACAGGGTACAACTGTCCAGGTGTACCAGGGGGAAGGCTGCTTAAATGGTATGTTGTTTCTCTTCCCTGAGCAAAAGAAGGCAACAGTTAGGAACCTGCATCACTTTGATTTCGTAACAAGTTTGCAATGAAAGACTGAAACTGACCTCCTCAGAGTGAAGCCTGGGTTTATAATGAGTAAAATAAGAGTTTAGGACACCGTTGGAGCGGATCACTGAGCCGTCTCCTGGGGAAACCTCTACCACTGGGATTTCTCCACTCAGTATCCTACAGAGCGAACATGAGGACAGAGTTGTTATGGAGCAAATAAATCCCAGTTAGATTAGAAAAATTTAAGACACCAGGGCTGCAACTAACAATTATTTCAGTAATCAACTTATCACTTGAGTCGTTTTCTCTAACACTTATTTTACAGATAAAGGTGTTTTTAAATACAAAATGTATGAATTTTCTGTACAGTTTTGGCTGAATTACTGCCCCAAAATATGTTATTGTTTCTCCAAATTGCCTTTTTTTAAAGTCTGGATACTCCAGTTAACAATTAATCGATTACTAAATTAGTTGACAATTATTTAAATGATCAGTGAATCATGATTAAGCCGAGGCACTCTAATCAAAGATGTAAGATAAATTTCCAATCTCAGTTTTTGTGATGACCTTCCGACACCACATTTCACCCGTTTCCTTTAAGAGCTTAACAAGCTGTTAGGTATTTTCCTCGAACCTACAATAAAATAACCACAGACAACGTATATGAATTAAATATGGTCAGGCTTCTGCAGAAGGAGAAATCCCGATCAACAGCTCCTCCGGGCTGGTCAAAAGAGAGTTCTGATCTGCTTTCACGTGAGCTCCCTCTTTATTGTCAAAGAACATCAAACAACAGAGGTCGTAAAACATTTAACACAAACAGACCAACAACTCAGTTCCAGGTGTGATATCTAATTTACAATCTGAGCCCAGTTCAGCTCTGGGTCAAACTGTCACCTAAGACTGGGTAGATAAACACCAGAGAAAACTTTAGGGTCTGAGAACCATAAAGTTTTACTATCTCGCATGAAGACAGTCGTAACCTCCAGGTCAGCCCATACACACATAAGGAAGAGAACACTTTAACAAAATGATAATATCAAAAAATCTCTAACACAAGCAAACATTCAACTTTACAGGGTTCCAAATTTAGGCTCTGTGAAAATTCAAGGTTTGCTCAGGTGGTAAAATCCACTTTGTGCCAATAATCAACATCAGATGAAATAATCTTCATCTGATGTTGAGATGAAACATCAGATGAAAGTTGATGCCTCTGGGTAAACTGAGTATAATTAGTACACATACAATGCCTTTTCTTATGTGCTTCTACACGTACCTGTATGTGACTCCTTGACACCATAATATTTTTACAAGCTCCGTTGGAAGATCTGATACTTCTTCTTCCACCTTAATCTTCCACCTAAAAAGCATAAATATCGAGCTAAATTTGGAATTTAACAGACTCAATTAGTGCCCAAAATCCTTAATCCACAAACCTGTGCCAGTGAGGTGACGGACATGTAAGAGGAAGAGCCTGGGGAAGCTGGGAGTCTCTGTCTTTATCAGATATGTCAAGCTCATCATCAGCTTGTTTGGATTTACTTGGCTCTTCAGACTTAGTATCTTTACTGTTAGAGAGACTGGACATCCAGTGATGCCGAGCCAAGGAGAGAGGATAGGCCCATGTGGGATCAACGGCAAGGCAAGAGTGATGCTGCACAACTGTGGTGGCCTGGTACATCTGTTCAGGCTGAAAGCAGAACAGAAGTTGAATGATGATAATCGTATCAAACATGAGTTTAAAGCACAAGAATATTCAAAAGGTAATACCTGCTGGTGAGTAGTGCTGGTAAGATGCGAGGAAAAAGAGTTTGCTTTAGTTGACTCCTTCCCCAGATGTCTCTGGTCATTCTGACTGTTTGCTTGCTGCTGACTCTTCAGACTGCCATCAGTTTTGTTTAAACTGCACACAATTTGGTGCTGAGGCTGACTCAGGTTACACATGAACTCGACGGAGAATTCCTCACCAGACGGCGACAACGTCAACATGGCTCTCCCCTCCTCTGACCTGACTACGATCTCACCTCCAGGTCCAAACTCAGGCTTGTAAGACGAACACTCAGGCCACTTAACACCGGAGTCAAGACTGTAAAAAGGCTGTCAAGGGAAACTCATGATGTTTAGATAATTTTGCTCAGCTTAGAGGTGCATCTCAAAGTATACAAGTTTATCCATTTATTAATTCAATTCCAAAAATTTTAATTATAAAAAATGTTATTTGGATGAATTACAAACTTCCAGAAAAAATTAAAATAGCTAAAACACTGGGTTCCTGCAAATCTCAACTAAAAACCCCTGTTTAGAGTTTAACAATGGCATTTGACATAGTGTAATGTTTTGATTGTTGATTCTATGTTGCACAACTTTGTGTTTGTTATTATATAAAGCACTTTGAAATGGCTTGCTGCTGAAATGTGCCATACAAATAAAATCTGATTGAGTGAGTGACAATGTTGTTAAACGTTATTTGGGCTCATTTTTCTTTTGTTCATTATTTGACAGAACCAGAATATACCAGAATATGCACGTAAATTATATTTTTGTCTGAATACATAATTTCTAAAATATATATATATGATTAAAGTCAGCTACTTTACTTGAGTAATTGTTTCACTTTAAACATAACTCTTTTTTTTACTTCTGCTTGACTGACTTATTAAAAGGAACTCTAGCCTTACTTGAGTTTGGAGGTCATCTACCTAGTAGTGGCAATTTAACAGAAGTAAATATTTAACATATAACTCTACGTGAATCGCAATGATTTATTAGAAAAATTTGAAATAAATAACTTTAAAATTATATTCTGATCTATTGAAATGCTTATTTTTGACACTGAAGTGGATCAACCGTACCTTCCTGTTGTCAGCAGCGATGAGCTCTCCTGGAAGGTAAGGTCGACTGGCATACTTATTCCTGAACGCCAGTGCGGTTGTCATTAGCGCCTTCGAAAACAAAGTAAACTTCGTTGTGATGCCTGAGAAACAAGCAGGAAATAACACTGGAGTGTTTCCTCTACCTTAAAGGCGCTAATGGCGAACCTGGTTCTCTGTCGGACTCGCTCAGTGGGCTGCACAGGACGTCCGAGCGGGTCCGTGGCTTTAACCAGGACGAATTCACTGCCACACGGCGACAGCTGCAAATGAGCTCCGTGTCTGTCATGAACTTCCACGGACTCGTCCTCATACATCACCATCGCACTGACGCCCTCTGCGGTTCCCATCATCCGGGGAACTTTCAATAACAAGCCACAGGAAGAAACCTGAAAACAAACTGACGACGTTCTCAGGTTGAGCCGTTTGACTACTGGCGCGCAGTAAAGCCAGGGAGTCACGTGACCGGAAGTATCCTCCCGAGTGGCTTACTGAAGGATTACAGTAACAGAGTGCCACCTGCTGTACAAAAGACGGTACGGCATCAGCGCTTTCCCTCTTTTCATTGTCCCTTATGTCTCTTCATCTGTTCTCATCACAGGCGCATTTAGTCACAGAATAGCCTAGTAAAAACATTTAACTAATTCCTGTTTATTGTTAAAATTTGGTAGAAGGCAAGTTTAAATCGTAGTTTCTATGGAGAAACTACATATAAAGGTATTTAATTATTTTTTTTATGCAGGGAATTATTGTTTACTCTTGCTGCTTGACATAGAGTAGCATTTGCAGCAGATCCGTGTTTATTTAACAAGTCACATCACATTTTTGGCTCAGTCAGTCTGGTTTTCTTCCTGTGTCCTGGATGGGTTTCTCTGTGAAAGCCATGCATCCTACTCTGTGTAGGCTATTGTAAACTCTGGGGTTCCACAAGGGCCAATGCTTGGTTCGTTATTTTCTTTTCACATTGAGTGAGGCTTGTGTTCAAAACCTGGAAGTAATTTTTGATTCTGACTTCACCCTGGACTCTATTAATAATTAATCACACAATTGACCATAAAAAAGGGTATGTGAGCATGCAAGTTTGCACAGTTGTGATGGAGGAGACGGGCTTTTTTGTGCATTTAATTAAAGTGTTTCAAATATCTAGTATTTTGGTAGGGTTCTAGACTTTAGAGCAACAGTGCCCTGGTTGGTACTGGATGGTGGTAGTTGGTACTCTCCCTGGTGGTAGTTGCAACATTTTCAACATGTCAATGTTCTTTTTAGGCCTTCTAAAGAGCCATCATATGATCCATGTGCGTTAAGCCATGGAGAGAACTAAAACATGAAGGATGGGGGTCCTCGAGGACCGACTTTGGGCACCACTGCTTAGAGTGTCAATATACTAATTTAAATTAATTTAATTTTTATTATTCATTAAATTGTGGCACATTTTCTCTCAATGTTGTCCTAATTCGCATTGGTCAAATAATGCACAGTCTATAGATTCAATGCATTTCATTTTCCATTTCAGTTACTTTTTTATTTCAATTACCACTTCTACTAATATGAGCCATGTTTATTATATTGTTACATTTCTTCGTAAGGGTTGTGTACACATCAGTAAGGGCCCGGATGCCCTGCATGTTGGTTCTCTTTAATATGGGTGGGGCACAGTGCTCTCCCGTTGATCTGTTCAAAATAAATGAATAAATAAATAAATAAGGTGCCTGTCCCTTTAAGAAGCAGCGCAGGCAGCGCTCGTTGGTTTTTATTCCACGGCGATGCACCTTCTGCTCCATCACCAGACGATGCGCCCGGCTAACTTGTGAGACACGGCGCTACGTTCAGGAGCCGCAGCAAAGATGGCAGGCTCAAAGCAACAAGGGTACGCACTTCTGTGTTTCTGCTGATGCTTCTCCTTGTTTGTCTTGTTCTCCTTGTTTGTCTTGTTATGAAAATGGGGGCCGAGAGGGAGTGGAGGTGGTGGTGGGGGGCGGAAGGGGGCTCAAACAAACAGTCACACCTGACTCGCGACTGGTTGACTCGCGCGGAACAGGAGAGAGCGAGTGAGGTGCGCTCTTTTCCATTTTGTTATAAATTTTTAATGTGGCATTTAAGACAAAGCCTGTTCCATTCGCTGTAGCGTGGCGCACCTTTTAGCCAGGGACGGATGTTGCTAATAGACGTAATTTCACGACGCGCTGCCGCTTTATGACGGCGCTCCGGTTTCTCGTCGGGAACTAAGCGTTACGTAACCATCAGGGAGGCATCCTGCTGTCGCCATATGTTCATCGAGGCCAGAAATCAGATGATGTTGCGATGTTGATGCTGGAGGGTTTTGTTTTTGTTTTTTGTTTTTGTTTTTTTGTTAACGCAAGCGGATGAATAATCCTTATTGGTAACAAAACAAGGAATAGACACACTAAGCAAAGAGGGGGAAATCTAATTTCACACCTGAGCGATGCCTTTTAGATGACGTGGACCGGTGAGAGGAGCGCAAGAGCCTGCATCCGCTGTGTGCTCCTCCGTTTTCCACACACACAGGCGGAAATGAAACAATGCACGTATAAAATCCACGAGAACAACAGAGGAGCTTCTGGTATAAGCAAGTACACTTGGAGACATTGTTTCGACAGAATAAAAACATCATGTGTTGAAGGGGTTTTGCTGCTGGTATGCAACTCTTATAAAGTTCATAATGCACCTGGCTAAATTAAATTTTTTATTTAATTTACGCTGATATATATTTTTTTTAGCATTTTGCTGCTGATATTTATTCACTAAGTGATAATTTACTTGTACTCCTCACAATGTAGGTCATCTTGATCTATAGGGGCATTGTAAGATCTGACCTTTGGGGCTGATCAGCCTCCCGTGAGCAGCTGACAGCCCCTGGCTGTTCAACATCTTAATGCTTAACAATGTATTGCTTAGATGTTTTGTCTTTTAAAAACCTTTTGAGATGAGCTAATGTTTTCAAACAACCGCTGGGGATGGTCCACCAGCCCGCCTGCGATCCTGCCTGGACAAACTTTGTTGCTTTTGCATGGCATTCAAATTGAAATCAGAATGAAAGCTGCATATTAGCGCTTTCATCGTGAGTTGGAGAATCAGCCACGTGGAATAAACAGTCGTTTTAAACTGTTACCATTTCTAGTCTCTCACATAACCTAGGTAAAACAGTCTAGGTAAATGTATTGCTTGGGAACAATGAAGCTTTGCAAAGCTTGTTTGCAAAGCAAACAAGCTTTTTAGCGATGTGAAGATGATATTTTGACTAAAAACAAAAATCGCCACAGTTTATATTTCAAAAGTTTTCTTGTTCCTAAAGTGACACATACAGTTTTGTTCTGAAAACACACACCGTCCCGTATTGTTTTTGTTCTAATGTGCGAATTTCCTTTGTTTTGCAGGTTATCTTCGTAAGTAGTTAACGGATCCAGTCTGACAGCTACATCACCCACCCACTCCACTGACCTGTCTAACACTTTAGCCATGGCAACTTGTTCGACGGGTTGTGCGCCAGCTGTGCGCCTTTGTCAAAGACTGAACCGGCTCAAGACACTCGATGGTGACATGATGGCGACTTCACTGAAACGCTGCCTCTCCACGCTGGACCTGACTCTGATGGGTGTCGGTGGCATGGTTGGCTCTGGCCTTTATGTCCTGACAGGAACGGTGGCTAAAGACACGGCAGGACCAGCTGTCATCATATCCTTTGTTTTTGCAGGTATCGCTTCTCTTCTGGCTGCCTTCTGTTATGCTGAGTTTGGAGCACGCATCCCAAAAACAGGATCTGCATATATGTTTACCTATGTGTCAGTGGGAGAAGTGTGGGCCTTTCTCATTGGGTGGAATGTGATTCTGGAAAACATGATTGGTGGTGCTGCTGTAGCACGGGCCTGGAGTGGCTATCTGGACTCAATTTTTAACCATGCTATCCAGAACTTCACAGAAACACACATCATGCAGTGGAATGTGCCCTTCCTTGCCCATTACCCTGACCTCCTGGCTGCAGGAATCCTTGTATTTGCCTCAGTCTTCATTTCCTTTGGAGTTCAAGTATCCTCTTATCTGAACCACATCTTCTCCACCATCAGTATGGGTGTCATTGCTTTCATCTTGGTCTTCGGCTTTGTGCTTGCCGATCCTGCCAACTGGAGCCAGGAGCAAGGTGGCTTTGCGCCTTACGGGATGTCAGGGATCCTGGCAGGATCAGCCACATGCTTCTATGCTTTTGTGGGCTTTGATGTGATTGCTTCCTCCAGCGAGGAGGCAAAGAATCCTCAGAAGGCTGTTCCCATTGCCACTGCTATCTCTCTTGGACTTGCGGCTACTGCCTACGTCCTGGTCTCCTGCGTGCTCACATTGATGGTACCCTGGCGTACCCTGGACCCTAACTCGGCCCTGGCAGATGCTTTCTTTCGCCGTGGCTACAGTTGGGCAGGAATTGTAGTGGCTGTCGGCTCCATCTGTGGTGAGTATGAGCATTTGCAAAAAAGTAAAATATGAAGTAGTGCATCATGCTTTTCGGTGCTGTATTTTGATAAATACTATTTTTTTTCCTTTTTTTATTAGCCATGAACACTGTGCTTCTCTGCAATCTCTTCTCCCTTCCTCGGATTGTGTACGCCATGGCAGAGGACGGATTGTTCTTCTCCATTTTCGCCAGAGTCAATCCCGTCACCAAAGTTCCAGTCAATGCCATTCTAGTATTTGGAATCCTTATGGCTTGCATGGCTTTGATCTTTGACCTAGAGGCGTTGGTTCAGTTCCTGTCTATCGGGACTCTCCTTGCGTACACCTTTGTGGCCGCAAGCGTTATCGTGCTCCGCTTCCAACCAGAGAAGACCAACTCCAAAGATGCCACCACCACAACTCCTGGCATCAACGCAGAGGTGTCCCCTGCTCCCTCAGAGTCACAGACCATAACTGAAGACAGCGAGGAGCCCAAGCAGTACGAGTCCTTCTCTGACAAACTCCAGTTGGTGGAGAGGCAGAAGACGAGAGAGCAGCGTGGGGTGGGGCACCTGAAGGCCTACTGGGAACCCTACTTAGACAGGCTGCTGGGAGACTGTGAACCAGGCGAAGTGGTGGCTTTCTGTGTGATGACCCTGATTGTGAGCTCAGTATCCCTCTGTGCCGTGCTGGAGTTTGGAAATGAACAGCTACAGTTCCCAGTCTGGTGTTTCACAATGCTTCTGGTGATTTTTGCCTTAGCTTATGTTCTTAGCCTGGCACTTATATGGATTCATGAGCCACAAAGAAACAACCTAACATTCCAGGTGAGCTTTCATTCATGCCATATGTTAATTTTAGCATGCAATTTATTTATATAAGGCAACATATAGTAAAACTGTATTTCTTATGACCAGAGAATGAGATAAGTTTTCTTGTTGTGTAGGTACCTTTGGTGCCACTGACTCCTGGTGCCAGTATTCTCTTCAACGTATT